CCCAAATTTTGTTAAAACAAAAAGAAACAAATCACAAAATTTGGAAAAAAAAACAAATAAACGAATTTTGTGAAAAAAAGAAATAAAGAAACAATAACAGAACAGGTCCAAAAATGTAATTGTCTACTCCAATAAAATTTTTGAAACTGTTCTGTTTTTGTTCATTTCACCACCGTGTTATTCAATTATTTTTTGTGAAATTTCTCAATTGGCATAGCGTCTGACACGGTTTGCTAGAAGACGTCGGTTCGAATCCGGCCGGATCGAAGGAATTTTTTCTGTATTCGCTCTTTGTATTAATAATTATAACAAACTAGTGGAGTAGTGTCCATTGGAGGTATCGACATGATAGTCTTGAAAATGATACGAACGATATGAAACAAATTATGTACATGTGAAATTTTATAACTCGCCTATTTAAACATAAAAAATTAAGTAACCACAGTAGAGCTTCTTGTGAAAGAGTTCGTCCAGAGAAGTACTGCCACTTTACCTATTTCTACCACCAAGGAGTAATGTGAACATACTGCGTTCCTGTTTTGAAAGGTAAGGGGTATTAGTGAAATTACATGGCCATGAGACTTGTCAACTTATGTCTCAGAACGACAGGCGCGGTGGCAGTCCCCTCAGGTCTTTGCAATTTAAAGCTCTGAGTGGCACTGCACCCGCTATGGATAGGCGTGTCGCCACCAGGTGCACGACTTGTTCGCCCCTCATTTGGCATCATTAATTTCGTTTGTAGAACTTTTAAAAAGGATTTGCCATTCGACGTAAAGTACTTGCCGATTGTTATTTAGGATACGCTACACGTACAGGAAAAGGAATAACCAGTACGTCGCGAGGGAGCCCCCTTTTCGTGCACCCCATTGAGGCTTTAACTTTCTCCTTAGTGGAGACCCATGCCCAGCAGTGGAAGCTAATATTTCAAAAACTTTTGCAGTCAATATTCCGCCCACTTCTTACGAAATTTTTATTACAATCCGATGAATAATAATTGAACGCAAACGGGCCATAAAATACCATATTTTTACGAATTACGCACTCTTATTGTAATAAGGCCACATCTGCAAAATAACAATTTTTCAGGAGAGAGGTTTACACATTCTACTAAAGAAATTCGTCCCTAACTTTTTTATGCTTAAATTTTGTAGCAGCGGAGCTCCTTATGAAAGAGTTCGTCCAGGGAAATACTACCACTGTACCTGTATCTACCGCCAAGGAGTAATGTCAGCATTACTGCGATCCGGTTTTGAAGGGCAAGGATGCTGGTGAAATTACAGGCCCATGAGACTTGTCAACTAGGGTGCCGGGCGCAGAGGCAGTGCCCCTCAGATCTTTGTGATTTCAAGCCCAGAGTGGCACTGCAACTGTTATGGACAGGCGTGTCGCCATGTGGCTATATTATACAAAGAGTATGATTTGAATTTATTTGCTTTATAATAAGCTTTGCAATAATTTATTTACATACGCAATCTACCATCTATCGTCTAATTAAACTCCTAATAATGACATCCAACACGTAGCACTTCATGTAACAATTAAGTTAGTTAGTAACAGATTACCTCGCCTAAACAAGACAATGCAATGCTATATATTACAATACATTGCTAAATATCGTCCTACATGACATTACAAATGAGAAGACATTACTACGAATTATACAGGATGTTGGAACTGTTCTTGGAAACTTTGAACCATGCATTATGCGCTTAGCATGTGATTTTTATGCCATCATGTGCAAAATTTCCACGATAGTGCGATGGTTGAAGGACAGCAGCAAGAATATCAGAATGGATGATAGCGGATGAGTGCAGCGGTCGTCCAGTTCGCTGGGCATTGCCTATCTGCAATATACAGGGAGATTTATAATATAGTAACCACCTCTCAGGACTATATTACTAACATCATAAACAACAACTGTTGTTCCATGACTTTTAGTAATTCATTTCATTTTACTCTCGTACAAAAATAAAAATATTTATATAGGCAGTGACCGGACTAACTGACCGGCTTGCGCGTGTGAACTTACTACCAAATACAGACTTAAAAAGTGTCAGATAGGTCAACAAAAACTTAGAAGTTTACTTTTCGTAAATTTTTCATGTTTTGTAAAGAGTCACGGAACAGAAGTTGTATTTATGATTTTAGTAATACAATCCTGCTAGATACTATTTTTCAAATAACCCTTTATAACATAAATAAACAAATTTATATTATGCTAATACCAAGACTAACATAGTAATACGGTGTCTTATGTTGCTAATTTACTGATTTATATTGATTATTAGTTGTCTGTAAATAAATATTCTTTTTTTATCATACTTGTGAATCCAAACATTTACTACAAGTTCATATCAATTCATTTAAAAAAATAAATCAACTTCGGTACGGAATATTATTTCATAGTAGTAGATCTCCTTGTAAATATGTTCGCCCAGAGAAGTTTTGCCACCTTACCTATTTCTGCCGCCTAGCAGGAATGTGAGACTGCGTCTCGGCTCTGAAGGGTAAGGGTACTGATGAAATTATAGACACATGGGATTTGTCAACTTATGTCTCAGGGTGACGGCCGCACTGACACTGCCCCTCAGATCTTTGCGATTTAAAGCTTTGAGTGGCACTGCAACTGTCATGAATAAGCGTGTCGCTTATCACCTGGTACACGATGTGTTCGTCCCGTTTCTGGGTATCACAAAAATGAAAACCATACTATTTTTCTTAATAACCTCTGCCGCCCCTGCAAGCCTAGCATGAGCCCGAAGACAAAAGTTATCTCTTCTTCGAAATGTCAATTTTCTCTCGAAGACAAAAGTTATCTCTTCTTGGAACTGTCATCGAAGAAGAGATAACTTTTGTCTTCGGGCTCATGCTAAGCCTGCAGGTACGCCGTTACAGTTGTTCAGTATGGCGATTAGAAATTGTTAGTAAAGATTTTCGGAAACAATATAATAACACCATGTATAATTTCTGGTTACTACATTGTCTTGTACAAGGATGACGCCCACCTAACAACTATATTAACTCTGATGTTAATTATAGAATTGATTATATAACTTAAATCTTTAAAATGTTAAGCATAACCTAAGGAGCCCATCATCATCATCAACCCTTTTATACGTCTCACTGCTGGGTACGGGTCTCCTTTAAGACGAAGGTGTTAGGAGCCCATAGTTGATACTATTTTATTTTACTAGTTTATGCTAAAATTTTGTAGGATGTGGTAAAGAAGACAGTGATAAAGCTCGCCCAATGTTAGATCTAGATGCATGGGGTGGACTATGGTCTAGAGCCCTCCTTTCTTAGAGGCTTAAACAGGATTAGTGACTTCACACGTTTTCCGAGGGTTGTGAACTTTCTACGACGTGCAAGTTTCATCGCGGTGTTTTCCGTCCCCGAAAAACTCATGGTAAATTTTAAATTAAATTTCGCATATACTCGTAAATTCCAAAAATGTCGGGAGGTTGAGCCTGAATTCGAACACGGGGCCTCTGCTTGAGATACGGTAGATCAAACCATTAGGCTACCGCAGCTTTTAAAATTGCTTGTGGGAAGTTGTTTAACTGTACAAAAGTTTTTGAAATTCAAATTGTTGAATAATCTATTTAAACATTATTTTGACATGCGTTCCACTTTTTATTATTTATCATACTTTTTGTCAACTATATAATTTAATAGGAAATTAAACTATTTTTCCAGATTTAAATCGTGTATATTTGTTTTTTCAAACAAACCTCATGTTGCAAACTCTGTTGCATTTTTAATTGTTTTTTATATTTTGCTAATGAATTTGTGAATGAGCAAAAAAGAAGCTAGAAGAAATATTTCCTAGTTTTCAAACTAGGAAATATTTCTTCTGTATTCACTGTATTCTTGATTATCAATATCGACTTCATATAATTTTCAACTCTATCCGTGTACGAATAAATTCTACATTAGTTTAAATATTTCCGTTCGAATATCTGCTTGAAGTACTAAAATAATAAGTAGAATATTAATTCGCTTCACATTACAAAACATGGATAACAATCCTTACAGCCTTAACAACATTTCACTAAATACAGTGCACAAGCACACCTGGACGATACAAACAAAAATAAGCCCTATTAGAGCATACTAAGCTGCATGTGGCAGCACATTTGCGTGGGAGCGTGTACTTCGAATTTCGAAATGTCACAACAACATTTTGGCCTATTATTGTCACCCACGCGGCAACAGTGTGCATAGATTATGCCTCTACTTAATGTGGTTGGAAATCTGCTAAATATTTTTCCTTTTGATAAATTCTTTAATAAGTATAATATAAACTTATAAATTTATTGATCTATGTACGTTTAAAAACAATTTTATATTGTTTCAATACGCAAGTAATTTAGGAGTAAGTTGACTAAGTGCATTTCAAACAAAAATATTCTAAAATTAAATTACGACACAGTGAATAGTGCTGTGATGAACAACGATTCGTAGTATTTTATATCGATCCACTTAAGACATGCAACCATCGAGTACATATACTCGTTGCATGCAACCTATTTAGTAAGTACAACTAGATTTCATTACTTCGCAACCTAAGAAGATCGTTATCTTTAGTAGGTCTCCGCATTGCCATCAAATAAAAAACATATCCGTTATAGAGGTCCTAGAAAATGAGTAAGTAGCCACTTACAAAATTTCTAGTAGTGCTTATCCAAAACTCAATTTATAATAGCAAGTTTATTAACATTGAATGCTATTCATTTGCAATTTACCAAACAAAATATTAAAATACACATTTTTGGTGAGAATATACAATTCAAATGGCGAAGTCCGATGAAGAAAATTGCAACGTGGGAATAGCAGTACTTAATGTTAGGTAATTATAGAACACAGATGTTTTGATGATCTTGGACAAATATTTCTTGAAATAAGCAAACAGGACCTTAAAACACATTAGTTAATATGTAAAATCAACTAATGTTATTTTCAAAATAGACGTTTATCCACTAATGATCACATTCACTCACCTTTCCGCTCTAATGATGTCGCATTGTCATCAAATCCCCGCCCACCGGCACAAGTCTGACACAGCCACAACACTATGCATGACGTCACTTCCTAACCCACTCCATTCATAAATTTCAATCATCGATATCTTATTTGCAATCACTATTCGTTCGAGATTCTATTTGAACTTTTAATTGAAAGCAATAGCACTGGCACTTCGAGAACGGAACGGGTTTGTTTTTTTTATCTTATTGTTCTTTTTATTTTTTCATTGTTTTTTTATAAAAAAAGGTGTTTTAAAGGAGCGTGTGAGTCTGCCGGTGCGCGCGCACGTTTGAGCACGCGCCGAAGCCTCCGAGTATGATCGCCCCCGCGATTTTTGACGCGTGGGTGCCAAACAGACCGGCTGCGCAGCTCCCAAAACCGAATTTGCGTAATAAATTTAACCAATAAAACGTTGAGATAAAGAGAGATCTTTACAATGCAGAATTGAATAACACACGACCGTCGATAGCAGGGTATCGCATGAAAATGGCGAGCTTTCTTTATAAGCTCATGTTAGAATTTTAAATGAGTATCGAATAATGCATTCGACATAAAAAGCTATCTGGCGGCTAACAATATTATGTGAGCTGTTGCGTTGGGAAGCGACTTGTCGAGGAGAGCCTTGTATGGAAAAACGGGTTCGTCTGCAGTCCCACACGTTTCGACTTTTTGCCTGCAGGAAAGAGCTTGAGAATCTTGCCAATGTAAGCTGACCTTCCTCATCCTATATGGAAGTAAACATTGCTACTATTGTTAAAGTAGCAATGGGGTTATCAGAGTTCTAGGTGGAGTGGTCGCTTTGTGGCGTGGAAGGAGCATTGTATAGGTCGTGTGCTTGCAAGCCACGTAGCTGCTGGCTTCATACATTTGTAATGAAATCGTCGACGCCGTGCCGTCCTAATTAGACGTCTTCCTAAGTTCCTACAAGACGTTAAGGAGTCTTTAGTTGAACAACATAGCTCGAAGGAATTCCTTGTCAAAACTCTGACTTCTCGGAAACATTGTGTTCCGGTTTTCGGGAATCTTCGTGGATAGTCGCCATTTGTCAGTTCATGATTTATTGCACCGTAATAACTGAAGTACTTTGGAATTAACCTAACTCTGTCTTGAAAAGAAGGTGGCGAGATGACTGCTTATTTTCATACATGCAAAATCGTTTTTAACCGACTTCAAAAAGGAGGAGGTTCACAATTCAACTGTTTTTGTGTATGTTACGCGTTTTGTGAACCGATTTTGATGATTCTTTTTTGTTGGTAGAAGGTCAGTATAGGTTTCATTTAAATTTGAAGAATAAAAAGAAATATTCCACCTTTATGGGTGGTAAACGAGGATCCCCTCGTTCCGATTTCGCGCACTTTCCGGTAGCCGATTTCTATCCTATTTCTAACGACTGCGTTAAATTACATTTATTTGCCAAGTTTTATAGCGAAAAAGTTTTTGAGGTCGGTTATTTTTTACAATAATACCTATATCATGAATAATGTACATAATAATGTGCCAGACAACGACACAAATCGCCTGGTCTCAAACTAGAGAATTTTTTGTACTATAGTACCAGAGCAAGGGAAATCACTCTGGGTCACTTCCTAGAACACTCAGACCAGAACCAATTCAAAAAAGTTCATATCCCAATTTGGTCCTACCGGGAATCGAACCCGGGCCTTCTAATCCAGCGCCCACAATATAAACCGTTGGGCCACCGAGGTCGTCGGACATATTTCTATCATCTGGAGAAAAATTTCATATCAAAATTTCGAAATCATACTACCTATAAGAGAAAGATTACCATGTCTGCTTATTATAATACCTATCTAATTAGATACGCTTTATGTAGGTAGAGACATAATTTTTTTTATAATACCAAGTGACCGGACTAACAAGCCGTGAGCCTGGTGGTAAGCGACACGCCTATCCATAACAGTTGCAGTGTCACTTAGAGCTTTTGTTCGCAAAGATCTTAGGGGCAGTGCCACTGCACCCGTCACTCTGAGACATAAGTTAACAAGTCCCATGTGCCTCTAATTTCACCAACACGGAACGCAATAATGCTCACATTACTGCTTGGCGGCAGAAATAGGTAAGGTGGCAGTACTTCCCTGGATGGACTCTTTCACGAGGAGCTCTACTGCTATTAAAATGCATTACAATATGTATATATAGTCAAATGCGGCAACAACGACTGGGCATTATACTCTAGATCGTAAGTAGCACAAAGACGAATTAAAATCTTAAATGTAAATTGAGACGTGCCGTTGTTCGTACTCATTTAGAATTCTACAAAGAAAGAGTTTATACACGGTCCTAATTTACTAACTGCCATCGTTCTATGGGAGTGAAATATACATGAAACGTAAACGTAACAACTTTTTTCTTCTTCTGTACTATATCTGTCGACTATAATTTCATAAACATTAAAGGTGCCCTTTTTAGTTCCGAATCAAAATTCTATTGTCTGTGATACTCGCCATTGAGCTGAAAAGTTTCAAGTTCTGTACATGGAACTATAATGAGTTTCAAAAAAAGAACGTCGCATTTTTTATTAATTGGGATATCAACTAGGACGCTACTGAAATGCTATACGATTTAGTAGCAGTAGAGCTCCTTGTGAAAGAGTTCGTCCAGGAAAGTACTGCCACCTTACCTATTTCTACCGCCAAGCGGTAGGTTTCGAGTAAGGGTGCTGGTGAAATTACAGGTACGTGGGACTTGTCAACTTATGTCTCAGGGCGTCGGGCGCAGTGGCAGTGCCTCTCAGATCTTTGTGATTTAAAGTTCTAAGTGATATTGCAACTATTAGGAACAGGCGTGACGCTTATCCCCAGGCACAAGACTTGTTCGATACGACGATTTATAAAAAAAGAAAAATATTGCCTCCTGCAGCTTGATTTTGATTGCTTCTCCCGATCGGAAACTGCGTCTTTTCCAAGTCGAGGCGCTTTGCGATTCACAACTGGCCGATCGGAAACTTTTGACATTTCTAATCGGAACAATAGACTATAAAGATATAGTAGGAATCAGGTTCATCTTCTCGCTCAGAAACCCATCTGATTTCGAGACTACCCGATCGGGTCGATTCCGATTCAGCACGCTGACTATTTAAAACGGCCTAAAAGTCTTGCAAGCGGGTCATAAACCTTTATTAAAGAAAAAATGATTAGTTAAAATATGTGCGGTACTTGGGCAGTCCTATGCTATCTCTTTGATTTTTTGTTTTGTAGCATTTGTTTGACTTTCGTCTAAATTATATGAAGAGCCTGTATGGTTGCAACTTTACCTACCCTAATAAATGGGTTAAAATTTTATTTTTTTAAATTGTGTTTCTTCTCATGGATTGTTAGCAAATCATACATTAAATACTTCTTCTGTTTCATTACTTCATTTACTTGTAGAAAAAGTATTGTATGCAATAATTACGTAATGATGTCTTAAAATCTCGTATCTAATTTTTTCGCCTTTAAGAACCTTCATTCTATAACAATTGCATAAATTTTTTTAGTCACAGTAGAGCTCTTTGTGTAAGAGTTCGTCCAGGGAAGTACTGCCACCTTATCTATTTCTGCCGCCAAGCAATAATGTCAGCATTCCTGTGTTCCGGTTTTGGTGCTGGTGAAATTACAGTCTCACAGACTTCAACTCAACTTATGTCTCAGGGTGACGGGCGCAGTGGCAGTGCGCCTCAGATCTTTGCGATTTAAAGCTCTGAGTGGCACTGCAACTGTCATGGACAGGCGTGTATCTTACCATCTGGCACACGATGTTCGTCCCGTCCCTTGATTGTGACAAATTAAATAGCTGCGTCGCACTTTCGGATCATGTGTAGGTACATGTACCATGGAGAAACTGATTTTTATTTACGTCCCCTATAGTAAACGTTGTTTGATTTATAACGTATATTAAACATGCCCAAAATAATGTCAGCTCTTAAATTACGACTATTTGTATTGTGTAGATGTGTCTCAACCTATTTTTGCCAACGATAATAAAGCATATTAGTTAATTAACAACTTCTACAGTAATTAATGTACAGTAAAGCTTGCCCACGGTCGTAACAGTAAATAAACGTAACGAGCTAGCTAAAACGTTTGCTAAAACGCTATGAACACACACCTAGTTTAACTAGGTACTATAAGTAATAGGTAAGGTGTTTACGTGAGCTATTATGTATGTAGGTGTTGGTAAACGTGTGTTTGAAAATTGTGTAATAAGTAAACTAAACAATATAATATGACTAAATTTGTATTGAATTGATATTCAACTATTTTTTGTGAAATTACTCCACTAGTTTGTTATAATTATTAATACTAAAAACCAATCGAGTGACGAAATACTGTCATAGATTTCTCATAGATGGCGCTACGGCTAAAAAGTCGTTGAAAACCACAATACAAAGAACCGACAACAAGCACATAGAAAAATTCGTGAGGTAGGTTGGCATAGGGTCTGGCAAGGTTTGCTAGAAGACATCCGATCGAAGGATTTTTTTCTAAGTGTTCGATCTTTACATCAATAATAATTATAATATGATGTTTTACAGTATCTAAGCTGATTATATCTAACCTCCAAGGCTACCAAATCTGTTAGTCGCATAACTTCATAATTTATTCTATTTTACAGTGAAATTGTCAACTAAGGAAAGAAACGCCTGATAAAATTATATTGAACCTAATCATCAAATTAATTTGCCAATATCTTTTTCGAAGGCACCTCTTTAGAGATTTTAGATGGTGATGTGAACAAAATTATTAAAAAAAGTCCAATAATAGATTTTGATTTCGTACAATGGGCAAAAATTGTATGTAACAAATGAATGTATGAAATTAGAAACGTTTTGAAAACGCTTTGAATTATGACGCGATATTCTCTTGAAATGTAACAAAGGCCGTCCTCGATGTGAATAATTCGAAATCCCATAGGTAATGAATCAATTCAACGTCCGGGAAACAATAGGAACGTATTAAACATCGTGCTGTTTGAATGAACTACTCTTCCGATTGTGAGTAGTGAGTCACAATTCCATTTATTGACAAAGCTCGAGCATCTGGGTCCCCGTCGGAACAGGCCAATTAAGTTTCTGATACGCAATCTCCTTTACTTTAGTTCCAGTTGAAAATAAACCGTAGCGCAACGATATAAACATTAGCGAGCCGCTGTTGTTAACTTTGTTACCGTTATTATACTGTTTCTCTTCTCGCATTTTGTCGCTAATTCACAATGTGATTTTCTAGTGCTCGACATTTGATTTCGCTCTTTGAACTCGCTTATTCTGTTGGAAAATTCGATATAATCTGTAACATGATGACATGTAGGCATTGACTTTAATAATAGACAGGGCTTTTTTGTGAATATTTTATCACAAGGAATACACAATAAGAAACGGAGTCTATTGGTTCAGACTAGTACCTATTCTACAATACGCTGACCAATATTTAGGAAACTCCAGAATCTTGATTAAATATATAAAATAAAGTTAATTTTATTCATTTTAGGTACCTCCCCATCACGCTGTTAGACGTTTAAAGTTATCCTTTATTTATCGAACAAGGTCAAATATTTTAGAGCACGATTTAAACTTAAAGTCGTTTAGGTTCAAACGATAACAAAGTTCGTCAACACCCTTATCTTTAAAATTCATCATAATGGACATGAGCAATCTTCATTCCGCGTCATTTGTTGCGACCTTTTGACCCCAGAATTCATTCATTTTTCTTCTACAATATCTTAAAATCTGTAAAGCCTATAATTGAGACTGATCCGTTTTTGAGACCTCTTCAATTCAATAACGTTTATGTAAGCTTTTACGTTTCATTGTCCAAAGTCTTGTTCGTACAATATTTATTTACAAATTGGCTTAATGTTATCCACTCATGACATATTTAGAGGAATGCTAAAAAGATTCGAATTTTTTTTTAATCGAAATCAAAAGACTATTCAAGTGACTTTGGGGTTTCAAAATGGCCACCGTAAAGTACCTAGCTATTTCCCGCGAAAAAATGTCAGAAAATTAAACTATTGCATAAAAATTACAACCTAAGATTTGGCAGTATATGGCCAATTAGATGCCTTAGATAGTCTAAGGCCTGTCCCGAAGGACTAAGAACAAACTAAACATATTATGACTACGGAAGTAATTTTTTTATTCAAATTAAACGTTTTGGTACAGGTATGTGGTCAATAATATGAATATTGTTATTATTATTCCGTTTTTTTTACGTGGTTATCATAATTCAAACTTTTTTTAAAGTTTGTATGACATCGTATATTTTTAATGTGGAACAAATAAAGGACATCGTGCCATACAACACTTCAATCTACTAGATATAGATAGATATCGTTGAGGCCATATTAATTCAATTCAGTCACGTGTCAATTATTATTTGGATAAACAAATGATACTTACTTATAAACTCAAAGTCAAAGAATTTATTTCATTTGGTAAGCAAAAAGCACACAGTAACATAGATCAAACTACTATTTCATTATTCATAATTCGAAAGACGGTGATGTGGAGTGAAACTCTAGGGGTTGCCTTTTTGAAATAAACATATGTATATATTTATCATTTACTATATTTATTTAAAATACCATATATGCAAGACCTAAACGTGTGACTACCATGAATGTTTGTCGTCCACGTACACAGAGACTCTATAAATAACCTTTAGTGTAAAGTCTTTGTTTCACTATAGTTTTAAACATCAACAAGAACCCAGCTATGGCAGATATCATATTAATGAAGCTTGTTATGTCCAAATCAGTTGCATCGGCAGCAATGGCAGATGTTGGGACGTAATTCGACCCACAGCGATTTCCGCTGACTTCCCGCCGCGTCATCGACAGGTCCCCCAGAGACGGATTCAGGGTTACCAACGTGACGCGGGGTTCAAGACTTGTTGTGACATATTTACTCTCATTCTCACCAGTTCCTATCGCTAAAAGCACTTTTGGCAGGGATGTTATCACGAGTCAATATGATGAAGAGAGAATGTTTAAAGAAGGTAAGGTTGGTCTTAAAACCGAATAGCCGGACAAACCAGCCAATTTACTAGCTTACTTACTCTACTGGCTCTGCAGCGCCCCGAAGTGTATCTTACCTCCGACACGAGTTGGTGCCAGCGTTGATGTCTTGTACGATCTCCTCCCAGTTCTCTGCATGCAAGGTGCGGAGGTCTTTCTACACTTCGTCCCTCCTGTGGTCTACCGATTTAGGCATTTAGCCGAGGACCAGCCAATTTAGCCGGACATTTAGGCAAAAAGGTCAAGCACCCTACATTTTTAAGGATTTTATGTCGTAGTTTTAATACGACAATTTTAGAAATGTAAAAACGACGCTTTATTGATCTTTTATCAAATAATCTTCTTAAATTCTAATGAAGTAAGTCTTCTTTGTGATTAATCATCTATTATTGCGTTGAGATGTTCTGTTCGCTCAAACGACCACGTTAGACACGTTAGTCAAATATAAAAAGCCAGACAAGCCGGACGCCGTCTACTTCGGTCGGACACGCATCCAAAAAGCCTAACAAATTCCGGCTTTATCCGGACGCCTGGTAATGCTAGAAGAAATTAAGCCAATTTAAAATGTACAAAGCAAATGTTGCAATGCAAAACATTTCCCGTTCAATACCTTTAACTAAGTTAGAAAATAAATGTCTTAAGTAAGATGATAAAAGCACTTTTGACGCATGAATGTGTTGCTTTATTATACCAAGGGTACGAAATACATCATGTAAATTCTACATATTATATAAATCTAATGATTTTTTTATTTACGCCTAAGATTAAAGTTTAGAACAGCATCTAATAGAGTATCTTAATGGACCGGACCATTCGTACTTGGATACTTGAAATCGGGGCGCTTTACAGTGCAAAGTAAGACCCTGATTTGTGCCCATCATACCTACAAACCACATGATCCACGTTGAACAGTATCCTAACGTTGTTTACGTATCGGCTTACAATATTCATTACAAAATCGTAATTATGCCCTACTCTAAAGAGCTACTCTTTGTTCTGTTAAGTAGATAATTAAGTGATAATATTGTTTACTCTAACCCCCAGTATATGACCCCCTGATAAATACTTCGAGTTTTTGTCATTTGAACTTTGGTGCGCGAATAGACGAGTTGTTCGGTCATGGATTGTTTTTTACTATATTTTTAAAATGATTTGGTGTGTGATCATTTTGTGTTTGTGTTTCACCGGAGCTGTTTACGGATCAGGAAGTATGTATTTTGGCTTGTTGGACCCGCATACTAATTTTAAACAGGCGCGAAGCAAAACAGGAACCATTTGTGTATTGTCACAACAGATTGTTTAGCTGATGCAAATTGAAATATGTGGCGTAATTTATACAAATAATCAGGCGATTAATCAAAACATAGATTCAAAAAACAAAATGCGTAAAATTGGTACAGTGTTTCCATCCAATACTTTTCAAAGAATGAATAATATTTTTCAATATATTTCAGAAAAGTTAATCATTTCCTAAAAAAAATATTTGAAATAACTTATTTCATGTTTCATAAAGTAACGATTAGAGGCGAAAAAAAAAATATATTTTAATAATACTAAGTGACGTTACGAACAAGTCGTGTGTCTGGTGGTAAGCGTCACGCCTGTCCCTAACAGTTGCAGTGTCACTCAGATATTTAAATCACAAAGATCTGAGAGGCACTGCCACTGCACCCGACGCCCTGAGACATAAGTTGACAAGTTCCATGTGCCTGTCATTTCACCAACACCCTTACCCTTCGAAACCAAAACGCAGTAATGTTCACATTACTGCTTGGCGGCAGAAACCGGTAAGGTGGCAGTACTTCCCTGGACGAACTCTTTCACAAGGAGCTATACTGCTACTAAATATTTGTGAAAGTAAACTTCCTTGACAACAAATTTTTCCTGTATGACGGTTCTATAATAGGTACCACATGAAGCAAAACTAAACAACTTCACTCGTGTCCATTATATTTAGTAGCAGTAGAGTTTGTGAAAGAGTCCGTGTGTCGAAATATCGACTGACACCTTACTTTCTACTGCCAAAGTAGTCATGTAAGCATTACTGCGTTCCGGTTCTGAAGGGTGTTGGTGAAACTACAGGCACATGGTACTTGTCAACTTTATGTGACGGGCGCAGCGGCGATGCTCCTTAGGTCTTTGTTTATTTTTTCTGGTATATTTGTTTTTCAAATAAAAATCTTTTCTGACTTTGTCGTGACCATGGGACCTATAAAGAGACCAAAACGTTGGTTTGTTTGCTAGTACGTCCCATAAACCGTACCTATTTCTGCCGCTAAGCAGCAGCTTGATTTTGATTGCCTCTCCCGACCGGAAACTGCGTCTTTTCCGAGTCGAGGCGCACAATTGTGATTCACAACTGGCCGATCGAAAACCTTTGACATTTCTAATCGGAACAATAGTTGATTTAAGTCACAAATATCAGGTTCATCTTCTCGCTCAGAAACCCGTCTGATTTCGCGATCGGGTGATCGGGTCGATTCCGATTTGTATCAAAATGAGGACGCTGATCTTTGCAATTTAAAGTTCTGAGTGGCACTGCAACTGCTATAGACAGGCGTGTCGCTTAACACCTGGCGCACGGCCTGTTCGTGTCGTCACTTGGTGTCATAAAAAAAATATTTTTTCACTAGCTCCTTTACCCTTGAGAACCGGAACTTTCTATTCTTTTTTCTGCATGCTATATATTTCTAATTTGTGAGTTAAAGCAACTATTACAAATGTCAAAGTTTCCGATTGGCCAATTGGGTCGTTTTCAGATAACCTCCAAAAATGTGTCCCTTTCAATAACTTTTATGTTATTACATGAATGCTAAGCATTATTTATTTAATATGATTGCATGCTTACTTAGTCTGTGTTACACATAAAAAGACTACTTTACTACATCACATTAATAAATTAAAATTAAAAAAGTGGGCAATTTCTCATTCATGGGGGCCGGTTCCACGTCGCCCTAATTTTAAGAAAAGAAGAAAAAAAATTGAACGCTCGAGGAAATCGCAATATTTTCCGTCGAGGATAAACTCTACGTCGAATACATACAGTAACTTTCCAATTTATTATAAACAAACATGTTTTCTTGGGAGTACAAAATGTGTTTCAATTTTTCTTGTCATTAGTGTCAATTCAACTAAAAGCCTGCTAATAACAAAAGTTCATACCGCATCACCTTCACACACGTGAAAAGGGGCTCCTTTCGGATTGGAGTGTAGTGTTTTAGCAAAAAATCGACTTAAATACCGATTTCAACGCTAGTGACCAAATCGTTCTCATTCATGTAAAGCAATCTATCTAAATAAGTATTAAGTAATAGTTGTATAAACTTTATTGTACATCAATTACAAAATGGGAACGTTAAAATCCATGCACTTTCATAACGGTCCAGCATATTTTACGCACTCGACAATTAAAAATGTATCCAAATATCATTATTGTCGCTCTCATTCTTGTCTGCTTTTAAGTCATATAGTTACTTTGAGCCAAATATTTACTTGAAATATAACAATTAGTTGTGAATCGCAATTAGGCTCAACTCACACTGGCGCAGAGTCGAAGCGTCGCGTCGCGTCCTGTTTTTCAACTACAACACTTGGAGACGCGCGACTACGCTCGCATTAGTGCGCCCGGATCACAATGTGGTCGGCGTCTGACGAAGCCGCTCGATTGCAACTAAGCGTCGACGCCCGTTTCCATGTTCGCATAACACAAATTTTTATGTACCTTAATAATGGGAAAATAAAGATGAATCTACTATACGCCAAAATCACGACGCGTCGCGACGCTTCGACTCTGCGCCAGTGTGAGTTCGGCCTTATGCTCCTAGACTCTGAAGACACAGTTTCCGATTGGGAGAGGCAATCAAAAACAAAGTTGCAGAGCGGCATTACCACTGCGCCCATCACTCTGAGATATACTTAAATTGACAAGTCCCATGTGCCTGTAATTTCACCAGCAGCCTTAACCTTCAAAACCAGGGGGTCTACTCTCGTGCTCCTTCAGACGTCATTGTCTTTTTAATGTGCTCGAGAATTACTATATTCATTCGCATCATGAAGAGTATGAAGCTTCATTCGCATCATGCGTATTTAAGTTGGTCGAGTTTTACTTATTTGACATTAATTGTTTCGGGCGGGTGTGAGAACGAAAGTACAGGGCCAGAACGCTGTAACATTATTGTTTGGCGTCAGGAAAAGGCAAGACGAACTCTTTTACAAGGTATGCTACCAAAGTTACAATTACAAGGCACATGGAACTTGTCAGCTTTATGTGTTAGAGTAACGGGTACACCATCTGTGTCTGGGAGTGCTCGATATAAGATATTCAAAAAAATACCGATATGTGCCATCGATATATCGAATCAATCCGATATTATAGTATTATTCGGTATAGATTAGTACTATCGATATATTTTATCGGATACATGAAAAATCGTACACAATTCAACATTGTACTTGCAGAAACGAAACGCACTTCGAACGCTAATTCGCTGGTTGTCCGTTAGTGTAATGTAGTGGACCACTACTAGTGGTTATATTCTCATTGACTGGCCGCACACACGCACAATAATATAGACAATAATAATATTGCGAACGATATTGTTGTGTTGGGAACATACAGAAACTTGGATTGTCAATAATATTGTATGTGTGCAGCTAGCCAATGAGAATATAAGAATAAGAAATACATTTGATTATTGTGTCAAAACTGATGGTTTTACTTATTTACTCTTAGTAAAATTTCTTTGCTTTTATCTTTTAAAATTATTTACGACATATCGAAAATATCGATGTATTGTACCGATATATCGCAAAATATGGATACATCATTTCGATATATCACAAAAAAAACGATATTTTTTTAATGAACACCACTATCTGTGTCCCAATGTCCCTTGGGTCTTTGCAACTTAAAACTCTAAATGGCATTGTAAGTGGCATGGGTAGACGTGTCGTTTGCCACCAGGCACACGACTTGTTCGTTCCGGCACTTGATATCAATAATATCCTGTTGTACCCGAACCCAGCAGTTGAGCATACGTGTGTTGATATAGGCACGTACAGACATTGTGTTTACATATTTCAAATTTCAATAGTAGATACCTAATTATTTCGTGGAATCCCAGAATTGATAACGTTCTCTTCCTTTTTAATCATTGCTTTGTCACGCGTTGTTTATATACAAAAGGGTCGAATTTGAATAGCGACGTTGCGTAACTGATGTATCGAGTAACTTATTTTAGAACCCTGACCCTTCTGAGATAAGGGTACAATAAGGACCATCAAGATTTTATTAGTTATCATCAGATATTTTAAAGCATTGTGGGAAAACTGTTGGTTTTCAATTAAGCGGTCGAACATTCGAATCCTTTAAGTTCTAAAGACGTTTGTACGTTTAGTAGCAATACTCGTAAGTCTCAAAATAAAATTCAAAAGAAAACGTGGGAAGTGTTGACTTTTCCGATGAAACAAAAGTAACTTTTAATAAATTTTATGTAATTTTACAAACGCCAATTTCATGATTACAAATCATACTATTTACTTCACTATCAATCATGACATAATTTCAAACCTAAATGAACTTTGCCCAGGAATCATATTTCGCAGTTACAAAAATAAAAAATACATATGAGTGTATATAGTAATAGAGCACCTGCTCTACATCTACATACCTCACAGTTAATTTCTTCGCTGAACAATATTCTTCTTATTCTAAATGGGTGGATTAGTATTTGAGCTAAACAAAAAGAATAACCAATAAATTGACATACTTAAAAATTCTCAATAATCTATTACTTTAACATTTCTTTGCACAGCGTATAGCCAAACGTACAAACGTCAAATAAATGTCAAATTTGTTTACAAATATACCGGCAGATTATTGAATCTGCCGGCTGGCGGTCATTGGACCGCCAGCTTCAAAATATCGGCATTTGAAATTGCTTCAAAGTGGTTATATTGTCGTTGTACATCAACTCCTGTTATTGTAATTGTAAGCCTTCACCAAAATTCACTTCTTGAGCTTGTTCTCTCTAACAAAGTACGTACCTCCACAAAACTTATTGAATAGCTGATCCCACTCAAACCGAGAAAATTTACTTAGCGGAACACTTGATACTGGCAAAATGTTATAAAGACACCGCCAATAAATAAAAAGAAGAGTAAAAATATCGGCATAATCTTAGTTTTCTTTCGTGGCTAGGTTAGAAAAAAAAACTATTTCTAAACTGTTTTTACTAGTAATTAATAATAAATTAAAATTAAATTCACAGATTCACTGAAAGACCCCTACATTTGCGGACCACCGTCTTGCACACGTAAGTAAACTGTTATTTTTACTATCAGTGCTGGTTATTTAAAACTATCATTTCGAAATCGGAGCCATTCTACCATGCAATCTTAGTGGGTATAACCATTCCGTGGATACAACTTTCAAAGATCGTTACTGGTCGACACTAGTAGGATTGGCATGTCAGGCTGGCATAGCTCTGCCAGACAACCGCAGAACTGTAGTGGATTCTTGCAAAAGAGCCAAAATGGCTCATCAAAATCACTCTATGCATAATCACAGTGTAACAGAGACTCAGGAGCCGGATAAGTTTCATTAAATGTTCAAAACATTGAACCTCTTAACATTGAGCCAGCTCAGGCAAGCTGCAGCCCTTGGTGCGAAAGAATACAGTCTGCCTTTGTTCTGAGAGTCGCCCTCTTGGATATGAATTGGACATATTTTATGCACATTTCAGTGAATTCAAAACTTTTTAAACGCTCCTCTGTAAACTTAGCAATTTCAACATACAATACTTTACGTAGGAGGGGTCGATATAGTGCCTTGAGCCTAACACCTGTTTAGAGCAGAGTAGTAGACAATATATGGCTCCTTTCTCCTCTTCCATACACTCTGCATAGACTATTATCCATCAAAGTGGTAGGTAAAGCACTGAGTTTTGGCCATGTTTTATATTTTCTTTATTAATATATTTTAGAAAAAAACAGGTATTGAGCATTGCGAGTATTCATTGTTATGGACTATTTTAGTCTGTAGACACACAAGCTGCATTCTGACTCCTCAACTGCAAAACAACAGTCAGAATGAACCTCTCTTGCCTGACCAGGAACCTTTGGTCGTCCAGTTACATATTACCATGACCTATTTGCCACTCTCTTCTGTCCTATGCTGTTATTAGCCAGGTATCTAATAGAAACTATACACCCATTTAAATTTTATATATTACAGCTACGGAAAAGTTCAAATATCTGCCAGATGTCATCTACAACTATGACTACAAAGTCAATATCGAGACTTACTTCAATGGATCAAGCAATAACAGATCTACATTGGATATTAGCGCTCAAGTAAGTTTTTAATAATCAAATATTATCAAAAACTTTTGAATGGGATGCAAATATATTCTGTGAGCATATACTTTGCTTATGAGATTCGAACCCTGTATCTGCTGAAACAAGCTTCACATATAGAACAAAATTGAGAATACAATTTTATTAACATTTCTTGTTGGGCAGACAGCCAAAGCATGGTGCTCCAATATCAGCCATAAAGATTGTATGTGAGTACAGTCTTACATATAATTTTAACCTGACACCAATAACTTTACTGTTTGTTTTAAAATTCACACATGCAGTTAAATTTTTATGGAAACTGCGCCATATTGTTGTTAATGTTCAAGCTCATAAAACTTTTGCAATGTTGAAATAGTAAAGTCAACACAACCCCATTATCGTAAGACAAAGTTTAGTGTCCCACTTGAATGGGGAACGTGAACCTTGCCTATGTTCTGTGGTAAGTAAACATTCCCCAGTCTTTGACCTAATTATGTGTCTGTTTACAATGAGCTGGTTTCCGAAACTGGACTTCGTGACGGTTATATTACATACTCCTGGAATCTCCTCTTGAATTTGCTTAATTAATTCCCTAAATTAATTTTACATTGCTAATTATTACTTTCAGGTGTCAATGCAGTTCGTAACTCCCTGCGAAGGATTACTGCAGCTGAAAGATGTAAAACTCATTGACCAGGATGAGAACTATGCTGTTGAGAGAGCTGAAAAGTTCATACATGCTGTATCCCTTTTCGATCTTAGGTAAGATTTGTAATAGTTACACTAGATTAAAGAAGAAACTTATTTCTCTTTTGATGAATCATTTCAGATATTGCTTGGTCACATGTCTAATGGATTTGTTCTATTGACCTGAGCAGATTGTGCATAGGCAATAACATTTACAGTTTCTCACACTTAATAGCTGATTACGATTTTTTTTAAATAATGAATGGCTTGTGAGATTAATTGTCTCAATTCTGCCAGCATCCGTTCCATGCTAGTTTTCTTCTAGTTTCATAAACATCATGGAGGGAGTGTTTGTTCTGTGACTCAGAAGGACTATTGAAAATATTTTTGCACAAATTGATTGCTAGAACAAAAGAGACATCACAAATTAGATAACACAAATTGTTTGTAACACATATATGTACGAATTTATACATTAATACGTGAACAATGTTTACAACTTAATATTATTGTTATGTACAAATTTACGGAGAACAAAGCGATTTCAACAAAACAATATACATAATATTTGCCCTTTTCTTTCTGGGATATCTCTCAATACATCGACCAACAATCAGATTAGGATGTCTTTTAAGACATTTTTTGATCTAATGTAAGCTTTCTCAGTATTTCAATAGATTAACTGTCTACCATTATCTGGTATCACTGCAAAAGAGACATTATCTAATTCACAGTACTCATTCCGATTTTATTGCATATTTCTGTGTTTGTTGTGAAACTTAAAACAAAACACATTACTTGAATTACCTGATATACCAAACAAAAAAGCTCTAACCTGTACTGGAATATTGCTAAATAAAGGTGACTATAAACGATTAATAGACACAGGGGTTACTTTGCGCAAGTCCATGCTAATAAAAATGGAAATTAATTAATTTGCTAATCCGCGAACCCAGTGGAGGTGAAATAGTGCAAAATAACTTTGCTTGAAAATTACTGATGCCTCGGCCGAGAGTCGAGCAGCATCCTCTGAGGATATCTCGTACAGAGGCTATAGTGAAATTAATGACCATGAGCAGACCAAATAAGACTACTTCCTAATTTAGGCTGTATAAATGAACCCCTTGTAAAACCACAGCTCCAATAACAATGTTCAGAATTTTATATGTACTCATATGTGAGACCTTGGTATCATAAAAATAATCACAGTACAGAGTACTAAAAAAACCGACCTGAGAAGTTCGTGGAATTACATCTATTTGCCAAGCTCTATTGAAATCAGTTACCGGAATATTTTTTTTTTCTAATTGTAAATGGGACCAACTGAGGTAGCCTTTTTCCAACAAAAAAGATCATCAAAATCAGGTGACAAATTCCGGAGTTATCGCGTAACATACATGCAAAAACAAAAAATATAGTATGTATCGAGTTCTTATTACAAATAAAACTATTTTTTCGGCTCTTAATCATTCAACCGTGACACCATGGGTCCAGTAAAGAGCCCGAAACATTTCTTTATTTGAAAAGATAAATATATGCAATGTAGATCCGAAAAACATTGTATGTGTTATCTTCCATCTCAGGTTCGCATTTCACGATGGAATTATATCGGAAGTGTGTCCCAACGAGCTGGAGGAAGACTGGGTGCTCAACTTTAAGCGAGCCATTCTGGCTCTCTTTCAGAACAGCATGAAGAGGTTCGACATCAACTTCAAAGGGATTGAGGTGAGTTTAATTAGAATAAATTGTTTAGTTTGAGTTAATCCCTGCGTTGTGAAAAACGTGAGCAATTGTTTCATCTCTTCGTGATAGAATTTTTTTGTTTGTATTTGTATCATCAGTAGTGATAGCACGACAGGGCGCGACGAGAGCGACATAAAGTGCTACATGCAACTATTTTCGCACAGAGATCTCGCGCTTTATCGTGCTAGCTCTACTGAATTGATTAGTCGACACAGGTCCTGATGACCCGCGTCGATCATGATCCATCCGTAATGTGATTGGGTTTCGATCATATGGTAGATGCTTTAGCGATTGACTAGTCGCTCACGAATGCTCGAACGCGATTGCGAACCGGGGCGTGGGGACTTCACATGAGAACGAACAACAATAATATTGTTAGTTACACTGGCTGAGGGTGATGTGAATTGTTGAAAAATGTCAAAAATTATAAAAATAAAATCCCATTTTGCGGGTATGACCCGCGCTGGGTTGAACAACAACAACAACGAATTTCTAAGCCTGCGACACAGGTCATCGCGAACAGGTGCTCTTAGAATTCATTTTAATTCGATCGAACACGTTCGATACAGCTCTAGTCTGTATGTAAAACTAGCCCTGTCTATGCAGCAAAACAATGCTGCGTTTCTAATTGTAAGGTAGCTGCTACAGGAGACTTTATAATCTTAATATGAACTTTCTTAATGTATGTATTAGAGACATAATATAATTCATTGTCTTATGTGTCCCTTTCAGCAAGACATTCACGGCTCGTGTAAAGTGGACTACACAGTGAGAGGTCAGGAAAATACGAGCCTGATCCTGATGAAGAGCAGAGACCTGTCGCTTTGCACAAACCGCTACAAGTACATGTCTATTTTGCAGACTGTGCGATATGATTTCCAAAGCGTGAGTATAACAAATTCTAATTACATAATTATAAATACCGATTACATCATCCCCTTTTCACTCGTAGGACAAGACTTGCACTCGGATCTAACCCTTATACTGTTGACGTATCACCAATCAGCATGAGCGTTTTAAGGTACCTGGCTGAGTGAAGAAAAAAGTCGTAAAAAAACAAAAAGTAATATCTGCAACCAGCACAGAAAAATTCATAAGGTCTCCTAGTTCGTTCCGTAGCGCCGTTGGGAGAGCATTAGCCACGGTATAGGTGCAGGTTCGAGTCCAGCCGGATCGAATGAATTTTTCTTTGTTTTAAATCTTTGTATTAATAATAATTATAACAACCTAGTCATTGACTTACAAATAAATGGACGACGGGTCTAATACAAAAACCACGAAAAAAATGTCCCAAGTCAACCTATTCGAAATTTAAATTGTAATGTCATCGCAGTATCGCGCTGTCAGTAGAACAAATGAAGACTAAAGCGCGACACTCCGCGCTCTGTATACGATTTTAGCGCCTTACAAGTGCGTACATTTTTTAGCGCGGACCCGACGTCCATATAATTGTAAGTCAATGAACCTAGTAGAGTAATTGCACAAAAAGAATTGAATATAATGGTAGTAAAACAGCGTGATAGTCAATAAACTTCATATGAGTTTTTAAGAGCAGTTACACACGGCCAGTTTTAGCAGCGATGCAGTCGCTAATCGTCTACTTTTACATACGCGCGCGATTTTAAGCAGCAATGCTAACGCGCGACTGCACCGATACAAACGCGTGGCGCGATTGCATCGATGCAATCGCCTGTAAACCCCAAGTGTAACGATGCAATCGCGTGTTTCATGAACGCGCGTTTGCATCGCTGCTAAAAGCCGCTGTGTGTAACCACTCTTACTTCATTTGTATAGGGAATTGTTTACTTGTTAATTTGTTCCCACACTAATATATCTTTGACCAAGCTAACATGCTCTCTCCTCGACAACATCATCACTTACCTCTGGATAAGATTGTGCTTAAATGCTTGGCACTTGTAAATTAGCCTGTAGTATTAATTTGTGCCTTATTTACTCCAGAAATTCCAAACCTGGCCGGTACTAAAATCGGAAAGCAAATGCCGCATCGCAGTGGATCACCATATTTACAAATCTGTTAACTGCCGTGAGCGCCATCTATTCGAACCTTTTTCGAATCGAAACTCAGGCGGCTTGAGTACCGTTATACAGAATTTGAAGTTGATTAGTGAAACTAATAAAACTGATTCGGAGATTCTCGACTCGCAACCTAAAAGTAAGTATAGTAAAGAATACTAATACAAAATAAGTTTTTTATAAAAATAAAACCTACCTCACAAGTTTGCTTGTCCGCTGTCATTGTGGATCTAGCGAATGGGCTACACGCATGCTGCACGCGCACGGTACGCGCGCTGCACGCGTGCTGCTTGCGTCCAGTTAAATACACGTTAATATATGTGACGCGCGAACGGCACGCGAACAAATCGCACTACGTAATACACGTGCAACACGCAAACAGACGTATTTGCGGAGCATTCGGCATATTGTTACGCGAGCGCGACGTCTTGCCTCGAGCAGGCACAACAACCGGTTAAAAATCCGAGAAATGCGCGTCCGGTTCAGTGGAAATTGCCGAAGGTAAAAGGCGGCTTTATCACTGCACGCGCGCATCATCAAGTAACTTCCGACTTTGAACTGCATTACTTATTTATTTATTCGAAAGTAACAGCTTAACAGCACTTACCTTTTTTACAAATGGTTAATAATAATATTATGAACAATATAATCTCTAAAGAGATTTCAGATGTGTTCCAAAGATTGTGAAACTCCTTCAACATGTTTGATCATTATGTTTATAAATGTACGTAACACAGAAATTAATATCAAAGATCCATGTCGTCATAGCCTTTGTACTACTGGGTTACCAGCTCAAAATGGAAATTAATCTTATTTAATTATTATTTTTTATATAATATTAAGTGTCGGGACGAACAAGTCGTGCGCCTGGCAAGGTAAAGGTAAGGTAAGCTATACGCCTGTCCATAACAGTTGCAGTGCCACTCAGAGCTTTAAATCGCAAAGATCTGAGGGGCACTACCACTGCCCATGTGCCTGTCATTTCACCAACCCCTTAACCTTCGAAACTGAAACACAGTAATGCTAACATTACTGCTTGGCGGCAGAAATAGATAATAATAATATAATATTAATAACGCACACACTCATATCCCCGCACTAGGGAAATCCTGTATCGCGGGTGCCATGGTAAGATGGCAGTATTTCTCTCGACGAACTTTCACAAGGAGCTCTACTGCTGCTAAATAATATATATAATGCCTTTTACAGCGTGGACAATGATAAACCGACGGGCGAATCTCATACATCATCACACCCCTTCTGTTCGCGGTGACTCCGGAGAACTCAAGTCCGCTAGAGACGTACTCAAGATGCTTTGCGCGTAAGTAGAGATTTTGGTGAAAATATTACACTAAAAATTCAATCGAAATGTAATACAATGGAACCTAACAGGTAACGAAATGGAACCTGGGTATTTTATTACGCCAGTCTCATGGATTCACAAATTTAGGTGCAGTGAGAGCTTTGTAAGAAGCACTATAGTGCGCGCGGAACTAGCTGGCCGCGCCTTAGGTATGTGAGCGGTGGGACGGGGAGGCGGGGGCACTTGATGTCATTACTCAGAATACTCAGTTCGGCGCCGGACTTCGCGGCGGCAACACACGTTGACAGTTCTGGCTAGTTTAGACAAAACGCACAAGAGATTGCAATGTCAAGATGAGTCCGCCGATAAAAAGACAATCTAAGGAAATAATATTTAAAGTGCATACGTTTTTTAAAAAACGGAAAGCCGATGTCAATAGTTTAGAATATAAAACTGATGCGAATATTCATAAATTAGTGGCAGAAGCAACCGGGATATCAGAACGAAGTGTAAGGAGAGTGATTGCTCAAAGTAAAACATCCTTGCAAAATACAGGGGAAGCAAAATTTAGTTCTCCACGAAGGCCAAAAGAGATAAAAAAGAAAATACAAGTTGATGATTTTGATTTAGGAGTGATAAGAAGAAAAATAAATCAGTTTTATACGGTACAGAAAACAAATCCAAGTCTACGAAAACTAAATGCTGTGTTAAAAGAGGATAATATTTTAGATTGCGGATTAACTTATTTAAGAGAACTTTTGCACAAACTGGGATATTCAAAAAATGTAAATCGAAGAGATCCCTTTTATTAGAGAGACCAAACATTGTTGAATGGCGAGTGAAATATTTGAGGGCCATAAGAAAATTCAGAGAAGACAAACGAAATATATTCTTTTTGGACGAAACTTACGTTAACCAAAGTCATAATGTCCAAAAATGTTGGCAATCTTCGTCGGAGCCTGGTGTTTATGCAGATATAGGCAAAGGAAGGCGTTTAATAATAGTTCACGCTGGTAGTCGGAACGGGTTAGTTGACGATGCTCTGCTAATTTTTAAATCAGATTCAAAAACAGGAGACTATCATGGAGACATGAACTCTACAAATTTTTACAACTGTGTTGATCGAAAGTTAATACCTAAACTTCCACCTAACTCAGTCATAGTTATGGACAATGCAGCTTACCACTGTGTGCAAGTTGAGAAGAAACCGACTATGTCCTGTATGAAAATTAATATGCAGAATTGGTTGCAAAATCATAACGTGCCCTTTTCTCCCACGATGGTCAAAGCTGAACTCTTGGGCTTGATTAATACGACCCAATCAGAAAAAATATACACGATTGATGAACTTCTGAAAGGTGCAGGTCATACTGTTCTAAGACTACCTCCATATCATCCAGATCTCAACCCAATCGAGCTTGTGTGGGCAAATATAAAAAATTGCCTGGCCAGAGATCACATTAATGCTACATTGGACGAGAAAATTACAATACTAACAAGACTATTTTCTGAATTTTCTGCCGAACAATGGCAAAAATGCGACGACCACGTACAAAAAAACGAACAAGAATACTGGAATCATGATATGAGATATGATACTGTGATGGACGAATTCATTATAAACTTACAAGATGATTCTGACTCAAGTTCAGACAATTCAGAATCAAGTGATTCAGAGGATAATATGTCAGAGTAATTTCATATCTATAAATACAAAGTCGTGTTAGTTACACTAATTAATTAATAATAATTTCATAAATGATTCAAATATGTCGGAAGAATTTCATTTAATTTGTTTTTGGTTTATTTTACTTTTAATTGCAATGTACGGACAACAGCAAGTCCATCAATACATAAATGTCAAATTTATCCAATCAATTTTATACTCTATTCCCTGGACTTTAAGTTGAAAATCAATTGAGGAAATCTGACAGTTTGTGGCGGCCTGATGTGCTGCCGACTGTACATTGCAATTAATTAGATAGGTATAATATAAACTTGTAAAAGTTCAATTGGCTTTAATTTTTTCTTTTCAATAACTGAACAATTATTGTTCACGATATCTCGAGATTGGTCGTCACTGTCTAATCTCATGTGCGTTGCGAGCAGCAAGCAACCCGCCCCCTCACCCCTGTCCCTACCTAAGGCGCGGCCAGCTAGTTCCGCGCGCACTATAGTAAAAAGCCACTTGGAATGCAATACATTTATATGGAGCTCACACGAAATAAAGTATAAATTGATGTTGGAGGGAATACAGAACAAGTTTACACGTTTTCTGTATCTTAAACTATATGGTGTGTACCCATTCTACCCATTAATGTATCCTACGTTGTTCGTGCTTGGCATGGTGGGTTACAGCAAATTGGAAGTCAGGCGGGACTTAAGTTTGGCTAAGTATGTATTTATGCTGTTGCGTGGCTGGGTATCTAACCTCCACTCTCATCTAAGCACTCTATCTAAGCCCCACCAACTGCAACACTGGTGTGCAGTTGGTGGGGCTGTGTGCACTGGACCAATGTGTGTGGCGGCGGCGACAGACTCCTCTGTTCGCGTTACCGCGAGCGCGCACGAACTTGTTAAAAGAAGCACCCTTTACCCGAACGTTGCATAACCTAAATGTTATCACTAATTTCGTGGATATATTCTGTTGTTCATTGAACGAATTCGTAAAAGCGGCTTTGTGGGTTTTGTGTTACCATAATAATAATAATTTTTAAGTAGTTATTAAGTTTGCTATTATCTAAATTAAGTAAAGCTTGACGTCGACACTATCGCATTAGGTACAACCTGTAATGATAGCTGTAAGTTGGAAATAAATAAATAAACAATAGTATAAGACGTTTGTCCACATTAAAATGATAAAGTTGACACGTCTATTGCCGTAAATCTCGATAGACTCCCATAAAACTAAAACACAAGTTCTTACTAGGCTTGGGTCAGTGTCAGTTTCGATTTATGTTGTCGGTTAATACTGGTCGAGAACGCCAGCGATGGCAGCAGCAAGGTATTTATTTTTGCAAGAATCTCTTAGAAGAAGACATTTTAAAGGCGTAAGCCAAACATAAAATGCAAAAAAGTACGGGGACAAGTTTTTTTTATTAAGAGTTTTGGGCTCGGATACAATTCCTTTGAGATTATCGGGATCCCCAACAACTATTTTCTATTGTGGTTTTATTACATTATATTTTCATTTTCTCTTAAATAACTTACTTCGCTTATTTGGGTTTTTTAAATAGTCTTTTAAGCGGCGGAAGTCAATATTAATTATGTTTTCACTTGCACCTATATCACATTATTGTCACTTTGAACAAATACTTTGAATTCGTAATTAGTGGAATTTTCAGAGTAAAATCTTTTGTAATTTGGTTTTAAATAAGGAATATACTACTAACTTTCTTCGTATTTTCTTCATAACACTTAAAATTAAAATAAAATCTTTGTAAAATCTGTACTTAATTTTTCACGGGGACAATTTGAATGCAGAGTGGAGCTAGTGCTGCACCAACGCGATTCTAAGGCTGAGATTTATAAAACGAACTTTGACTCCGACTAAGCATAAAATGGCAAGTTGGCAAACAAAATGGCAAACAAAACAAACTTTGCCTAAGTTTAACCAAAAAATTAAATTTGTTTTATTTATTTTTCATGGTGTTGTTCAATCTTTGTGTCAATAAAAATATCATACCTGTGGAGTATTTCATAATAAAATATAATATGAATAATATATAATAATTGCGTGTGGCTTATCACCACGCGCAAGTCTTGTTCATCCCAGTCACTTTGCATCATTAAAAAAGCTAGTGCTGCGCCAACTCGATTCTAACACTCCGAAGCTGAATTTCAGAAAATAGTACTGTAATTTTTGTTATTTTTTAAAGAGAAAAGCATAACACCGACGACGACGCTCTACCTACAACGGTAGACGAAAACATGGACAGTGGATCCACAGTTGGACTTTGGGGTCGTTTAGTCCGCGCTGCAAGACCGCTACATTACCCAGCGCTAGCGCAACTCTTAACTCGCGCACCTACTATCTGTGAAGGAGCTACGTAAGTAAAGCACACCTACCATCACGCCTGTCTTCCACTAGGAAAACAAAGACCAATAATAAAATAGATAAAACGGTAGATCTTAGTAAAGGGATATTTAGATGGTGCATACGAGTCATGATGCATCGTCTGGCAATCTTTGGGAGAGGCCTATGTTCAGCAGTGGATATCTTCCGGCTGATATGATGATGATGATGATACGAGTATTTTATACGAGTTACACGTACTAATCGGTTTCAACCGTTTTAAGTGCATATTTATCATTCGAGTCAAAGTGATTACTACGATATTGTTGTTTACGCGGAAACTTTCAATAGTCAACGGCGAGACGATTGTCGCCCACATGGAAGGCCGATAATCGCGAATGTTTACATGAAGAACCTTTTATGTTCTTTCGAAAACCGTAAAAACTCTCTCCATGTATGTACATGGGCCCTGACTTCAAAAGTTTATTATTTTTACACACACGTACAGTCACGTGCAATGAATTATAAACGTCACACAGTTTCGAGCATATGTAAATATAAGATATTTCAAAAATAAGTACCTTGCGTTGTGTTAAAAAATTTGTAGTAACTATTATATTGTAGTTTATTTACTTTTCTCCAAAATAAAACAAATACCTTTTTTTGAAACGGTGTCATGATTACATGTTTTCAGAGACAAAACAAAGTACTTATTTTTGAAATACCTAATATTTACATACATTTGAAAATGTGTCAACGTTTGTATTTAATTGTACGCGACTGTACACTTCACGCGCACGCGCACACGCATACGTTCTTAAGCTACGGCACTATATCTTTATTAAGTTCTAATCAATCAAATAGAAGGTTGGATGGTCCATTCTAGATGCAGAAAACACAGAAGTCTTTTATTTATTTCAGTTGTGTAAATATTATATACCATTTATATCATTTCCAGCAAACACATAATGGATGCGCTACCGTACATAGCGAGTGCGGGTTCAGTAGAGCTGATCAAGGAGAAGATACTGGAGAACAAAGTCGACAAGGACACTAGACACGAGTGGCTCATGTCTATGGCCATGATACCTCGGTGCGTATGATTTTTTTTTGCGAATTGCGAAATAATTGCATTCGTTTGATCCTTACTGTATCGTTATTACTAAAGCTTTAGTTATGAAATTAATGTATTAGATATTTAAGGATTCACTCTATAAACCATACTTTTTAGAAATACGATTACTTGTAGTTTCCTCCATAGAAAAAAAATCCAAAGTTATCTCTAAAAAACAAAATAAACCCTTAGTTCGGGGTAAATACTTCACGGAAGGTCATCAGTTTTTTAATAACCGCCTCTGTGGCCGAAGGGTTACCATGCCGGACTGCCACGCATAGGAGAAATATTTGTATGGTCTACATTTATTTCTCTCGTGAGTTTGTGTGTAATTTGTGTTTGTCTATGTGTGTGTCCATGACACCCGCGACACAGCGTTTCCCTAGTGCGGGGCTATATTGAGTATGTGCGAGTGAGTGTGCGTTATTTTTTAATAAAACTACATCTTTTCTATAAAGTATACTTCGAACTTTTCAAAATTTGTATTTGTTTTAATAATACGAAGGATCTACTAAATCCGCACGGTCCGCCCATACTAGCCATAGCCGCCACGCTTCCCCCCTGTCCGCTTTAGTCCTGCTTCGGCCGTCTGACGTGGAGGTTACGTCGCTTGGGCTTACACACGGCTTTACAAACGTATGCCACAAGCACACATACACTTATACCTAAAATCAATTGACGCCAGAAGTTCGGTGCCCTCTTAAGGCGAAATGGAATCGTTGTTGCGTAGATTTTAAACTGTGGGAGGTAATACTAATCATTGCACGATATTTAAACATTTGTCTTTTAAAAATAAAATATACTCTTAATGTAAAATAAGCTCATAATCTCGTGACGTATTTATTACACACACAACACACAATACACAAGAGAAAATTTTATTGCAATATCTCTAATAACAATTGAATGAAATAGATTTTTCCGGAACTAAAATCGTAAATGTGAAGAAAAGCACTGTGTTAGTGGAACATCAATTAAAAGTGAAGTGTTTATCTACACTATAACGGTCTGACGTGTCCATGTACAGATTTCTTAACACTTTTTCACATAAAATCTTGTTAATTCACTTATAGCTATTATGATTATCTGGTTCATTTATGTATTCATTTTCAGCCCTAAAATCGACATGTTAAAGAGCATGCTAGAGCTACTACAAAAGCAAAGATACGACAAAGTGATAAGCTTCACTGTGTCTTCCATGGTGCATTCCTATTGCAAACACAGTGGAAAACAATGTAAGTATAAAAACAAAGTGCTTTACTTCGGAGTTAGTCAAATAAGTGTGTAATAAAGAATAAGATGTCATACTGCGGTATACGATATTCGATTGAACCAATTCAGGAAACTTAAGGCTATATTCAACGTACGCGTATGTCTTTTGGGTAAAATGATGATGATTTTCGAGTGTTCTTTATTGTACCCTCGTTATTAAGATATGCCTAATTTAAAGTATTTATTATATTTATTGACTATAGTTAACAATAGCTGCTACAATGCAAAAAACTTTTCATGATTAAAATTTAAAAAGACCAGTATTCGTGAAAATTGTCAAGATTACCTACATCTATTAATTATACTCAATATTACAATTTATTTCCACTTAATTTTTTGTGTTTCTAATCTAATTTCAGTGCGTGAATGTTGTGAAGAGGAAATACCAATGAGTATCCTCGTCGAATTTCAAAACATCGTCAATGAAGTCGTCGGCAAGGGTATTCCGAATACTGATCGCACTGACCAGAACAACGTAAGCCACGTCCCGTTATAGCGTCTTACGACAACCTCTGCTTGGGAGGCGGTAGGTCAAAGATGGTTTGATACCACGGCTTCTTATATTAACTTGAATTGTAATAATTTCAGTTGGTAATAGCTATAAAAGCGCTAGGCAACATTGGAGGTTTCAAGCAAGACTTCGCAGACGTCCTTATGAACATTGTGGGAGATGCGTTTGTGCCAGTGCCCATTCGTCTGACAGCAATTGATGCTTTTCGGAGGACGCCTTGTCTTGAGACCAGGTAACATGATCAAAAATTCACTTTTTAAGACATGTATAATGTTAAAATAATAGGTGATAGGATTACGTCACGTTTCTTCGGTTCGGACGTTCGGAGTGCCCTTTTGAAGACCTGAGATTGTTGAACTTCTGATTTTAGACCTTATTAATATTTTTGTGGCTCTAGTGAAAAGGGGTACAAATCAACAAGTCAACTTTATAAGGAAACGCGAAAAACACTTAATATCATATAAGTTTTAACTATTTTTCGCGTCTAGTAAAGTTGGCTTTTTGACTTGTGCCCCTTTTCACTAGAGCCACAGATTTAAGTACGTATTTTTATTACGTTTATTTTACGAAAGAATGTTGTACTGATTCATCATCATTTATTGATTATATATTCATATGCACATACAAACACGATGCAATTCGCTTCTGTGTAAGTGATATTTATCCATGTATTTATCTAAAACAGCATTAATAACCCAGGAACTTACTTGTCAGTTGTACAAAGGTTAAGTAGAGAAAAAACCTTTATGGGATAAGTTGTGTGCGGAAAACCGATCTATTTAACTCTTGTTGGTTATTTTGATGTTTGAAATAAGTATTGTAAATGATAAATATATACAAATGTTTATTTATAAAGAGTAATGAGAGTTTCTCAGAAGAATCTGCCTTACGAATGAGTTTACGAGAGAGTTTAGTTATGAATGTAAAAATTAGTGACGATTTGAAATGTAATTTCTTTAGAAATAAAGATATCTTTGAGTTTAAACTCGCCTTTGTACTTTCACAATGTGAGTTCTTATAAATATCATTTCATTGTGTAACAATAGAGTGTTTACATACATACTTACATACATATGTTGTAGAACTGTAAATTTAAAAAAAGACGCAATGACACAATGAATTACACAGTATCCGTTTGTCATCAATTTAATTATATTTAATTGAATATTTGAATTTTCCAATCTAGGATAGAATATTTTATAAATTGTAACGAGTCAAGGGAGTTTTACGCAATAACCCCGTATCTTTGTTGCGGTTCTAATTTTTTATAGGGTTTGCCCTACCTTACCAGTATTAGATGAAGTAATTTGCACGATTGATTGACAAATATTATGTTATTACAAAAATGAATAAAAACCAATATTGACTTTTGAACGGTCATCAAGCCAAGATTGAACATCCTGAAAGTCAGTTTAATGTTATAGTAAAATACCAAATGTTTACATTTTGGAACCCATTCTCGGTATTTCAGTTTCTGAAAGTCCGGTATATAGGAAATGAAACTATTTTTCCGGAACTAAGTCGCGTATATTTGTTTTTTCTAAAAAACTAACGTTTCGGCCACTTTACAGGACCATGGAACCTGTAAAGGGGCCGAAACTTTGGTTTGTAAGAAAAAACAAATATACGCGATTTAAATCTGGAATAGTTTGATTTCCTATGTGTAACAATCGCGAAAACCGAAGAGTCCGGAATATGTTTTGATATTGCACATTATCGACAAGCTTTACAGCTTGCAAGTGCTTTAGTAGGGGCTGATTATTTCCTGATATCGCCATTGGGTAATTATGTATTTACAGAGAATACTTCCTGGAGACTTTCCGTGAACACTATGTGAACATAGAAATCCGCCTCGCGTCATATCTTCAAGTGATGAGATGCCCTAACTTAAGCATCATGCGCAAAATATTCCACGCTCTGAGGAACGAGCCAGTCAATCAAGGTATTTGTTTTGATATGTATTTTTTTTAGTAATGTACCGACACTAATATATACACGAACTCCATACAGACTCCAAAAAATCTTGCATAGGTAGGAAGGATGAACTCGATCTTCTTTGTAGCGTATCGGGCGCGTCACTAATAGCCACCATTAAACCTCCCCCAGTCAGATGTTAGGGCACGCAAGCCATCCAGTCATTTAGCAATCTGGATATTACATAAGGAAATCAACAGTTATCTTCCCTGATCGAAACACTTTAAAAAACGAACTTTGTTGAATCATTTGAGCGATCCGAGTAGGTCCTCTAAGGCCCGAGAATGAAATTAATTAACTCATTCTATGATCCATATGCATAAGCAAAATGGCTGACAACATCTCGGGAAAGTGAAAGGTTTCTCTCGATGCCCCCAGGTTTTCCTTGCCCCCATTGAGTGCTAGATATTTCGAGTTAGACAGATGGGGCTGACCTCTTCTTATCTTACTCAAAAATTCTCTAACTTTCAATTTCTGAAGTCAAAAAAATGGTTAGACGCTAAACCTAAACCTGAATATTAAATCTCCCAGGCTGATTTTGGAAATGGTTAGGCCCTTAGTTTCAAACTTGGTTATTTCTCTAGAGATAGGTAGATCATTGTTATTATTTATTTTCAGCGGCAACATTTGTCTGGAGTCACTTGAACAATCTCGGACAATCGTCGCTGCCGTCCCGCGTGGAGATACAAGGCATGCTGTCAGGGCACACTATGCCGCAGCTCGAAGACAGCCCCGACTTCAGGACGTTCTCAAGGAACTATGAACAGAGCGTGTTCTTCGATCAGTATAATGCTGGTAAATGATTCTTATATATGTTACATATTTTAGTACCACTGTACCAGTCTTTCGGTATAATGTGTAACCTTGGAACTTCACACTTGTTTGAAGATATTTGAATCACTTTTTTTTTAATCGGCTCACAATACTGGATACATTTCCGAGTTGTGTGGTGAACATTTTTCTCGTATCATAATTGATACGAGAAAAATGTATCCATCTTCTTCTTACTGTGTCCATGCTTCTTTTTTCTTCGGACTGTATTGAATAGTATATATACTTTGAATAGTATGTTGCTACCTTGACTGCACCATCCGTAGCCGCATAAAGACGCTCTTCCTCGTACAGATTAGGGCACTATGGGCACAACAGTGCCGCATGGACTATGTATCCTACATGGTGTAAACACCACATGCAAATTAAAATAAGTAGATTAATTAAGTGACAATAACTGTTAATTTGTTTGTGCCCTCACTTATGTATCCACTTGTACTAAGTGTTATACAAAGAGTTGATACCTAACTAAGGGCACCGACTACCTGATATTTAAGAAAACTGACAACAAATTATCGTGCCAAATTTAAATTAGACAACTTACAATGGTAAGAAGAGCACATCCATTACAGTGGACAGTGTTGACCGAGGTTTGTTCTCCAAATGTGGGGTAAAACGCATTTTATGATTGTGTAGGCGGATCTTCTTCGATATTTCTCCCGATATCTTCTTCGCATTATGTGGTTATATATTTTTCAGGTGGCAACTACGAAGCCAACGTAATCTTCTCGCCGGACTCCTATATCCCAAGATCTGTGTCGCTCAACTTGACTGTCGACATGTTTGGGGAGTCTATCAACTTGTTGGAGGTAAATTAAAAATAAAATATAAAAATCAAAAATTTTATTAAATTTGACGACCTCGATGAGTAGTTTGAGGGTTTGGGGGGTAGTTGTTCTAGAACTCTACTCAATGCTCAAGTCAGGATTTGAATATGGTTTAAAGCACTCGAAATCATACTCAAGTCCCTGTCATTAGGGTCGTATTTCCAGTGCTTGTGTTTCCAGTGCAATCCTGACTTGAGCATTGAGTAGAGTTTTAGAATACGACCCTGAGTGCGATTCCCAGCAAGACCAATTTAGAAAACGAACTTTTCTATGAATGTCCTGTTCTAGGAAGTAAATCGTAGTGATTTTCGATGCACTGGTGATACTGGTTTTGTGGTTGAAGAAATAACGAACACACTCAACATAGCCCCTCACTAGGGAAACCCTGTGTCACGGGCGCCATGGACACACATAGACAAAAGACAACCACAAATTACACCCAAACTTACGAGAGAAATAAATTAAGCCCATACAAATATTTCTCCCGGCCCGGGAATCGAATCTGGGACCTCTGCGTGTAACCGTTCGGCCACGGGGGCAGTTAATCACCATGACCATTATGGTTCAATCCAGAAAGGGTAGTGTTTATTAACATTTTCTAGCGTGACTCTACGATGAAATTTTACTCACTTGATTTTCTTATTTTAGCTCAAAGCCCGCGGTGAAGGCTTCGAGCGCTACTTCGAAAGCATATTCGGTAAGGACGGCCCACTGAGCAAGTCAAAAATCAACGATCAAATAAACAACATCCGCTTTTTACGATCTCTGAACAACGCTGACGAAGCTAAAAGGAAAATCGACGATTTAGGTTAGTTTCTTTCATTTAATTTTTAGTACAATTTTTTTTATAATACTAAGTGACGGGACTAACAAGTCGTGCGCCTGGTGGCAAGCTACACGCCTGTCCATAGCTGTTTTAAATAGCAAAGGTCTGAGGTGCACTGCCACTGCGCCCATCACCCTAAGACATAAGAAATAGATAATGAGTCAGTCTTCCCTAGACGAACTATTTCACAAGTAGCTCCTCCTTCTTCTTCTTTTAAATGTTATGGCCCCATCGAAATAATCCATGATTTCGCCAGTGTCAAGTAAAAATTACTATAGCGGTTTTGTAAAAATAATATAAAAATTATGGCTGACGCCATTAGCAAGGCCGGTACCTCATTTCTTAACTCACAAGGAGCTCTACTGCTACATAAATTTGACAATTGCCATGTGTCTGTAGTTTCACCAGCACCCTTGCCCTTCACAACCGGAATGCTGTAATGCTCACATTACTGCTAGGCGACAGAAATAGACAGTGTGTGTGTACTTCTTCTCTCTTCTAGTTGTTTTGATCTTTGATATAATATTATAACAAACCAGTGGATTAATTTCACAAAAAATAATTGAAAATCGTGGTAGTAAAACAACGTGACATTCAATAACCTTCGAAATTACAGGAAGTTTATCGAGTTCTTAGGTATTCGCGATTGTTACACATAGGAAATGAAACTATTTTTCCGGATTTAAATCGCGTATATTTGTTTTTTCAAACAAACCGACGTTTCGGGCCCTTTACAGGTCCCATGGTCACGGTTGACCATGGTTGAAAAAACAAATATACGCGATTTAAATCCGGAAAAATAGTTTCATTTCCTAAACGGCAATTTATATGTGTGTGTTTTTTGTAGGCTACAAAAACGAAGCTTTGAAACATCAATATCCAATGGCGGAAATTGCTATAAAAGTGTTTGGCAATGAAATCTCTTTCTGGAGTGCCGAAGGCGATGATGAAATTAGGAAGTCTTTGGAGAGATTGAACCCGCAACTGTGGATGTTGAAGATACTTTCCGGGAAGGTGAGTTATAACGTTTATACACATAGATGCAACATACCTCGGTTATATTGTATGTTAAGGACTGTAAATAAGGAATTACTAACGAGGGTCTATTACAATAGAATTTAATTATTCAAGTTTTCTATTTTTTTGCCGTCCGTGATACGTACAATGTTTTTCATCACATTTGCGAGGAAATAAATACAATATTTATTTCTTTTATGAATAAATATGTTCACAACACAACAATAATGGATTTTGCCAATAGCAGGTTTTTGTTATTTTTTATCAACAGATGGCCAGCTAGCTATTCTTCCATACAACTCGCACTAAAATGTTGCGAATACAGCCATGACGGACTGAAAACAAATAATTGCAAAATTTCTGTTAGAATTTAATATATCAAGTTTTGTATTTTTTTGCCGTCCGTGACACATATGTACAATGTTTTTCACATTTGCGAGGAAATAAATACAATTTTTATTTCTTGTTTGAATAAATATGTACACAACACAACAATAATGCCAAAGTCAAAGTCAAAGATTATTTGTTCCATAGGTAAAATAAATTTACACTTGAAAACGTCACATTTAAGCCACTGCTCGTTCACTACGCTGACCTCCCTGAGAAGAACGAGCAAGAAACTCTAGGGATTGCTCTTTTCAAATAAACTTAAATGCTATGGAATACACTTTGAATCAAATTTGTGTGGATTCTGGAGCCATGTCGTCTTTCCGTACATCTTTATCTAACACGTAGTCTTCAATTTTGTAATATGAGTTTTCGATCAAAATATTTTTAATGTAGTTCTTAAACTTAGGAAATGATAAACTTAATATATGCTCCGGAATCTTATTGTAAAAACGTATACAGTTCCCCATAAAAGAGTTGATTCCCTTGGTTAAACGAAATCGTGGTACCATGAGCTTGGACTTAGCTTTTAGCTTTAACTGCCTCTGTGGCCGAACGGTTACCATACCGGACTGCCACGCAGAGATCCCAGGTTCGATTCCCGGGCCGGGAGAAATATTTGTCTGGCCTACATTTATTTCTCTCGTGAGTTTGGGTGTAATTTGTGGTTGTCTATGTGTGTGTCCATGGCACCTGCAACACAGGGTTTCCCTAGTGCGGGGCTATGTTGAGTGTGTTAGTTATTTATAAGGTTAATATTATGGATATCTTCTTTCTTATTGAAATTATGTATATTGTTACGAGCATATAAAATATTTGAGTAAATGTACTGTGATGCCACAGTCATGATACCAGTCTCCTTAAACTTTTCTCTGAGAGAAACCCGAGAGCCTAGATGGTACACAGAACGAATCGCTCGTTTTTGCAATACAAATATGGTTTGAATATCTGCCGCTTTACCCCACATGAGAATCCCGTGTGATTGTTATACTATGGAAATAACTAAAGTAAACTAGTCTAGCAGGACTAACATCGGTAAGCTCACGTATTCTGCGGACTGCGTATGCAGCGGAGCTTAACCTGCTGGCCAGGGAAGATATATAATATATATGTGGAAACCATTGAAGTTTACTATCTAAGGTCACTCCCAAGAAGACTGCTTTATTAACAAGGTCTAACTTTTCTCCGTTTATTTCTATGCTTGGACTAGTCGATTTTACGTTAGGTAATTCAAATTTAACACATTTTGTCTTCTTGGAATGGATTTTGCCAATAGCAGGTTTTTGTTTTTTATATCAACAGATGGCCAGCTAGCTATTCTTCCATACAACTCGAATTAAAATGTTGCGCATACAGCCATGACGGACTGAAAGCAAATAATTGCAAAATTTGTGTTTTGTAAGATCTTACAAATTTAAAAAAAAGCTCCTTACCGACCCTGGCTCTAATGGGAAGAAAAAAGACCCTCGGGTTTTATTTGAGGCATTATAGTCAAGTTAGCCACCTTGAAATGATACTATTTATGAGTAAGTGTGATGAAAACACGTTTCCGTCGCGGCTACGGTTTAATCACATTATAATAATAAGTAGTGCAACTCCCGCCTATTCGGCGCATCAATGCCTAGACTTTGCTCGGAACATATGGTTATTATGCTTTTGTTTTAGTTATACCTACAAGTTGCAAAACATAATTTAAATAATTATGCTTTTTTATATGCAAAACCGACCTCAAAAGCTTGTGGAATTACATCTATTTGCCAAGTTTTATAAAAATCGGCTAACAGAAAGTAATAAATATAATAAACCGGATTGATCCCCTGATTTTCGACCTTTAGAGGTGGAATATTTTCTTTAAATTTGAACGGCACCACTAATGAGGTGCCTCTTTTCCACCCTTAAAACCCATAAAAGATTAATCGAAATCGGTTAATCTTTTATATTTTGGAGTAATCGTTTAACATACACAAAATAAAATACGGTTGAATTGAGCACCTCCTCCTTTCTTTATGAAGTCGGTTCAAAAATAAGGTGTCACAGCATTCTCGTGCTATATTGAAGTAACCGTCGTGAAATGCAATCCTTCCTCCTCGCATATTGATGTTCTATACCTGCATCGCGGATTAGTATCTCGGTATAAAATTATTTATTATGAGAGTGTGATCATGTGTAAGTTTTTACGTAAATAACGACATTAATTTATAAATGAAAAAAAAAATTGTCGTAGAAAAATATTTAAATATTCTAAACACCGAGTGTAAGCTTCAATTCTATAATGAATAGCGCGCCGAACCACGACTCATGCTTTGCAACGCGAGTGCACCGAGAGATTATGTGAATGTATATGTCTGTACACAGTATGCAGCGGGAGTGCATACATACAAGTCGCGCTGCTATGTTTGTATGAAGTTACCACACTTGTCTATATATTATACTACGATGCAAATGTCAAGTTATAAACTGTTAATTGACTACTACAATAATAAGAATAAGAATGTCACAAAGTCATTTTATAGTGTATGCCCCGGAATGTAAATTCCCCATAAAATAATCGTTTATCATACTTAAACGAAATCGTGGTACCATGAGTTTGGACGTAGTTGTAAGGTTCATATTATGGATTTATTACTATTGATGTCACTAAAATTATTTCTAATATTAAATACCTTTTTATAGGAAATATCATACAACAAAGCGTCCTTGTTCCTGGACACAACATTCTCCGTACCAACGGGATCAGGCTTCCCTCTCAGTCTAAACCTCATGGGAACAAGTTACATCAACACCAAAATGTCAGGCAATGTTGTACACAAGTTTAGAGAGTCCAAGAACCTGGATTTTGAAGGACAAATTAGACCTAGGTAAGTCATTAATTCAAATAATTTCCTTTAACCACTACGCCAACTCAATTTTTGAATCTGTTCGTTTTAATTTTGTTTTTTGTTTCTTATGCTATTTTATTTACAAAATTCGTTATTTTTTTGTATTTTTTTTTGTCAAAAAATTCGGAGAGCATAATATTAGAAAATAATTGTGGCTGTTTAGAAAAATAACAGAAAATTACCAAAAAATAAAGTTGGCGTAGTGTATGGATATAAATATTAATGGGCACTTCTTATAACATTACCTAAGCATATTATATTATAATAGTTATATTAAATATTTCACGCAAAATAGGCGCCTTGACGTCGAGTTGCGGACACCAGCCCGTTACACCAAGTACCAAATTAAATATTTCATAGTTTTTGTCAAATTGGAGCAGCCTGTATGCACTGACATGTTTTTTCTTAATGGTCTAACCCGTACCTAGTAGTGGTACATTTGTAAATTGAATTCCAGCAGCCAATTTGCGTGCGTCTAGCGCTGAGAGTAGAACTAGTTCCCTTGCAACGGACGCACTCCGCTTCGGCTGCGAGCCGATAGCTTGCATAACTTTTTGTTATTGTAAATGAATTGTATTATACCTTCAGATTTTTTTCGTATTATGTAAATATGTTGTTATGTTATATAGGTATTATTGTTAGAGTTTAAGAGTGCAAAGAAAAATTGTGCGTAATACGGTTGTAAGTAGCAAATGAAGAAAACATACTTTTTTGACATGGTTCTTCAATATTTTGGGACTTTATAACAAAGAAACTGCTAATACGACCTGGTGATCGATTTTTATCACCATTGTAACCCTTACCTAATTCGAATTTAGAATGACAGGATTATATCTTTAATTTTCAGTGTGGCCATAAACATAGTAGCAACCATGGCGGTAACCGCAGGAGGGCTAAGTTCCAGTGGTATCAGGCTGAACACTCGTCTCTACACCGCCACAGGAGTCGAAGCCAAACTCAGCGTGCGCGGCTTTAACTTAGTACGACTGGATTTGTCTCTACCAACACAGAAACAGGAAATATTTGCTGCGAAGTGAGTATATCAATTGGACTCAGTTAGGCTCAATTTACATTGCTGCGGAATAGAACGGAAGCGAAGTGTTGTAAAGAAATTTTACACAGCATAATGAGCTTTCTGTCAATTATGTAATGTAGAAACTAGATACAATACAGTATTTGCAAGAATTCCTGAGACTGTGCGAGAAGTCTTCGGAAAACACGCGACCTGTTTTTTGACTCGTATATACATATAATGTATCGTTTATATACTTGTATCTATATCGTATGTTATGTACAAACTAGATAGAATACGGTATCTGCAAGAATTGTGAACACTTCTCGAATTCCGTTTACTTCCATTATTCTTACGTTGGTTCGATCCGTCATCTCTTGCATCAAAATTCTCGAAGCGAGAGGACTTTGATTACCCTTTTAGGGGTAAGCGCCAAGACTTTATATATAAATAACGCACACACTCAACATAGCCCCGCACTAGGGAAATCCTGTGTCGCGGGTGCCATGGACACACACATAGACAACTACAAATTACACCCAAACTCACGAGAGATATAATTGTAGGCCATACAACTATTTCTCTCGGCCCGGGAATCGAACCTGGGGCCTCTGCGTAGCAGTCCGGCATGGTAACCGTTCGGCCACGGAGGCAGTTAAACCTCCCTACTAATACAAACTTTATAGTTTGTATTAGTAGGGAGTGTTTTTTAATGTTTATTCCTTTTTTATGTCATCGTATTATTTTAGCTACAGCCTTTCCTTTCATTTCCTACTTCTTTATTTTATTATTCAGATTTTGTTTTTGCTATAGGGTACATGGTCCATAATTTATGTTACCTGCAACCCTGTATAATATTATGATAGGCAATAAAGTAATATAATAATAATAATAACGTTTATTTTCTGAAAGTATTGTGTATAAGTTAGTCACTCTGTACTACACACATCGTCAGCCCATTTAAACGCCCCACTACTAGGCGTGGGTCTCCTCTCAGACGAGACCATGGTCCGCCACGCTGGCCCAATGCGGGTTGGGCACTTCACACGGTTTCCAAGGGTTGTGAACCTTCTTCAACGTTCCATCACGATGTTTTCCTTCACTGAAAAGCTCATAGTAAATTTCAAATTAAATTTCCTCACATAAATTCCGAGAAACACAGATGTGCGAACCCCAATCCGAACTCACGGCTTCTGTTTGAGATGTGATAGATCAAACCATAAGGCTCAATTTATATTACGGCGGAACGGATGGAAGCCAATTTTTGTAACGATATTGTACATAGCATAATAAACTTTAGGATCAAATGTGAACGTATAAACTACATTCCAGCCAATATCTTCCGCGGAATGCGCGAGCATTCTCGAGCATGTGTGAGGATTCCGCGGAAGATTTTGGCTTGTATCTAGTTTGTACGTTACATAATTGACCATAAAGTTCATTATGCTATGTTACAAAAATTCGCATCCATTCCATTCATCATTATAAATTGAGCTTTAGGCTACCACGGTTTTTTTACACACCACATAGTTCAGGTACAACCCTAGTTTTAGTTATTTCAGTATTTTTCTTTTGTAAATTTGTGCCTTAATCCGTATTGCGAAATATTTCCGTAGGTCTGAGCTGATAATCCTTCACGGAGATCAAGAGCTGCAGCAGCAAGGTCTGAACAAGAACAGGATCGAGCAGAACACTTGCAGTTGGTCCACATTCGACAAAGCTATTGGCATTAAAGTCTGCGCTGCTTATCAGGTACTTATAACACACTAAATATTTTGTTTCAGCACTAAGAACTAACAAGCACTAACAACACTACGTTATAACGTTGACCCTGAATCAGTAATACTTTTAACTGTGATATTCGTTTTGCCACAAAAGTAAATTTGCGTGACCTTATACCCTTTATAGAAAGTTAGATTGATTCACTTGTGCCAGTTAAACTTGTCAAATTACATACATACCACAGCGCTTGTCGCCTAGCGTGGTAGGCAGTTGGAATATAATAGAAATTGTGCACGCTTGAAAAGACGAAGTCGTGAGCAATGACACTTCAAGTCCGTACATGCGTGTATATTGTAAAATCTTCACAAGTTTATAAATAGGTAAAATTAATATTAAACTGGGCAGACCAGCCCGGTGAACGTTATTTAAGCGAGAGATGGGTCTAGCATTCATACCCTCTTTTTTCACGCATCCTGCAACATCTCACAGTGCCGGCGACGGCTATCTAAGACAAAGCAAAAGAAAAAAAACAAACACAATTTTAATACCTGCCATAATATGTGCGGCTGTAGCGTAAGCGAAAGGATCCACTCCTTTTGATTGAATTGCCTCCGTGGCCGAACGATTACCATGCTGGATTCGCGAACCGGTACAAATATTTGTATGGCCTACATTTATTTCTGTCGTGAGTTTGGGTATAATTTGTGGTTGTCTACCTATCTGTGTTTCCCTGACACGTGAGACTGGTTTTCAGTGGGGGTCCAGATGATAAATGAAAGATAGATTTTCACTTTGTAGTACCTTGGATTTTTTTGTTTTCTTCTTTTGCATCAATCCTTTGATACAAAATAATTAAAACAACATTTTTTTACAGTTCCCGAACATGACGAACATAATGAACGCACCGTATTTCCTCATGAGCGGACCCGCAAAGTACATTGTGTCTTTGGAGAAGGCTGATCCGTCTGCTAAGATTTATTCATTTCTTTATAAGTCTGACAGTAATGAAAGTACTACTGAAGTTGGATTCTCTTTTGATACTCCTAATAGCAAGGTAAGTTAACTTGGAAATGATCGGCAAAATATAAATAATATATTTCCACCATCTACGAATAAGTTACGTTCGTCAATTCTGTGGCTCTAGTGAAAAGGGGTACAAGTAAAAAAACCCAACTTTATAAGTAAACGCGAAAAACGCTTAACGCTTAATATCATATTTAGTAGTAGGAGAGCTCCTTGTGAAAGAGTTCGTCCACGGTAATACTGCCGCTTTACCTATTGCTGCCGCCAAGCAGTAATGTCAGCATTACTGCGTTCCGTTTTTTTTTCAATTATTTTAAAAATTTAATTCGAGCTGCGATAATATGGACTCTTTAGGTATAGATAAATTGAGAGACTAACTGTTTTTTTTTCTAGGAAAAGCGCATGTTCAACGCAAACATAATACTTTCAAATACAACCAGCACAGCGAAAGTTTCATTTCAATCAGCTGAAAGTACAATGGAAGCCAAAGCGTTATACAGAAACCAACCATATGACAAATCGTTAGAGGCTAGTTTAGATGTGAATGGACGGAAACAGTTTGATACTCTAATGTCTATAAAGAGACATGATATTAAGTATGGATATGTATGGGTGCCGCTCGCTTATTGGGTGGTTAATGATGTGAAAGTGGCTGAATTGTCTGGTAAGTTGACTTTGCTAACAAGTTATATTTCAACGCTGGCCATTTTACGGAATTTTAAATACTAATTCCTGATTTATAGAAATCCCAATACCAAGAAAACAATTATGAATACAAAGATCGAACACACAGAAAACAACCCAGTGGGACATGCTGCACCGTAGCATTGCTCTAACCATCTGAACCACGGGTTCATTCTCCGAGTTCATCACTTTTCTCACCTTGTTGTGGAACTTGTCGTTACAAGTAATTCTTAATATTCTAGTGTCAGATGAAGGTTGAGAAAGATTCTACTCTATTAGTAATTCTATTCTTACACTCAATTCTAACGGGGATTCTTTCCCTTACAAGCCTCCATAACCATCCTTTACAGCTTGCCCTTACCACTATATCCTTTCTTAGCCCCCAGTCATTCCCTTAAAATGAATGGGGTTCAGTTCTGTTCTGATACGAGTTCTAGTTCTACATTCACCTTTGATTTGTCCATTGGAACAGCCGTAGCTTCTGTAAGTTCCATTCTAATACGTATTAACTTTTCATCTCTCACCCCATATCTCTTAATAATATTGATTGGACTTACATGATTCTTACGTTCCATATGGCTTCTCCGAGTTCATCACTTTTCTTGCCTTGAATAAACTCCCGCTCTCCCGCCAATCACGTGCGCGCTCAAAATTCCGGGCTTCTCGCCTGTGACCGTTAATTTTTTAAACTCACCATCATATGACATGGCTGCCAACATTGACATCATTAATTCTGTTCAGAAACTTACCCAATGTCATCGAAGCACGCCTTTGTCGCTACAAAAGCGACATGTATGACATATATTCATAGTACAGGGAATTCTATATTTTACGGCTATGTAATAAGTGTGATTGTCTGGTACATTCGTTTCTATTACTTTTTTTTTCATGTCATAGTAAATTTACAAAAATATATTATCTTTCCTTCTACAGGAACTCTGCAAGTAAAATCAAAAGGCGGTATAACACAATGCGATATCCATGCGGATTTCCAAACGAAGCAACTCGCCAGTCGTTTATTCGGTTACTACACAATAAACGGCCCTACACACGGAACGAAGTTGCAGCTCGATTATCAATTTTATAAGAATCCTAGGCAAACAGTGAAATTGGAAGGAGTGTGCAGCAAAAGAAATGCTGGATTCAGAAGCGATCTATATGCAGATTTGTCTATGGACTTCACAGCTTACCCTGTCTACAACTTTTACGCGATCTTTAGAAATATGGTAAGAAGGGTTTTTTATTTCATGTTAATGGGACATTTTTTCTTTCCCATCTGTTTGTATTTTGTTTGCTAGGTCGTAGGTTTTGTTTTAAAAAAAAAAAACATTTTTATTAGGAACAGGTTTTACTATATAGAGTTCATTTATAGGGGTGATAAAGATTTAAAAGCTTACAAGTTTTGCATTGACCGTATTTTTAAATGAAACTTTAACACGATTTGTGAAAGTGGTTTTTGCTTCCACCCAAAATATTTACCGCTTTAAAGCCTATGAATTGAACTAGAAAAGCACTCGTGACGTCGTGACGTTAAGCAATAATTAAACTAGTACCACGTGTGCTACTTGTTTAATTAGGATTGCTCGAGGAAGTAGACGTTACACGATGTATATATGTAAACTTTTAAATGGTAAAAGGTAATTCAACAAAATATCTTGTTTCAAATAAATAATTTCTTCGACCGAGGAATTCATGTTATATTTATTACAAAAATACCAGCGCAGTATCACGGAATTCTAAAGTAATTTTATATGATATAACGCGCTATGGATTTGGTTTTAGGGTCGAAACACAATTAAATCAATTTATAATGTAATCATTTCAAAATTTTGTTTAACTTACACCCGTATAGAATTTTCTCACGCTTTTCGCTCTTTTATATTTGATAAACTCTACTATCACCCCCTAAGTCTTCCTGTTCTTATCGTATCGATGGCGTACACTATAATGCTTCCCATGTAGTGAAACCATTTGCCAATCTGGCCCAAAGTGCGCCGGACATACAGGACAGGAATCGTACGTCGTGCGCCATTCGTGCACCCCTAAATACATTTAATAGATAGCGCTAAATTAAGGCTTTCTTAGTACAGAACGAACAAGTTTTTCATTTTGTTTTTTTAAATATAATACTAAGTGACGGTACAAACAAGTCGTGAGTCTGGTGATAAGCGACTCGCCTGTTCATAACAGTTGCCATGCCACTCAGAGCTTTAAATCACAAAGATCTGAGAGGCACTGCCATTGCGCCCATCACCCTGAGACACAAGTTGACAAATCCCATGTGCCTGTAATTTTACCGGCACCCTTAATCTTCAAACCCGGAACGCAGTAGTGCTCACATTATTGCTTGGCGGCAGAAATAGGTAAGGTGGCAGTACTACCCTGGTCGAACTCTTTCACAAGGAGCTCTACTGCAACTCATTACATTACGCTAACAAGTAAGCGTGTACTTTTTTTTTACCAGAAAACCCAAAACCACATAGACATACGTTTCAACGTGAGCTCGTCAAGAGAGCTCAAGGAAAACCCAGCGTTCTCATTTGACTTCATCCGCGTGGACAAACTAGTAGGCGTGAAGCTTGACACACGCCTTACGGTTGCCAGACCACGACCCGTTAAGATGCAGTTTAGTTTCGAAGAGGTAAGAGACGTTGTCTTTACGCTTACACACTGTAAACTTAACTACAAATATAAAGATATACGGTCTGTCTTTTTTGACGACCGAGTAAAATGACATTTGTAGGGTTGCCAGTTTTCATAAAATTTTAAATAGCGATGTAGTTGTTGGCAATAGTTGCATCGATAGATTGTGAAAGCAGATACAATTTTGCCAAAAAATAGTGAATTGTAAATGTTACGACGCACTATGGGAACCTTGACTCCTTTTCATATCATAAATCTATAACTTCCGTGTTTTTGATGATATCTACCTGATTTTTTTTCTGGGTATACCTAAATAGATATTCTCTTAAATAATATACACTTTATAAGTCAAATTTTATTTATTATAGTTATAAAAAATTAAGGAATAAAAAAGTATTAATTTCTTAGATTTCTTATAAATTTATAGATTAATAAGATGAAGTACCTACTTTAAATATCAAGAATACATAAAAACATAGCTTAGTAGTCACTTAGGAGCTCTTTTGCTTCATCAAGAAGTTCCAAATATTTATTGTTGTAAGGTTTTCTCAAGCTTGTAATGTATGGATCAGAGGTATACAAAAGTGTGTGTATAACGTCTTCTTTGGTGGCTGCCCTCGAACATTTTCTTGCATGATGAAGTCTGAACTGCTTGTAGTCTTTGTTTCGTGACTCTTGAGCATCTTCAGAGAGTTGTCCAAGGGGCAAGACAGAAAAATGACGTATGACACTCTCACCATGAATCAACACTTTGTGCACTGATGACGGCATGTAATACCATTTATATTTATTAACATACAGCTGTGCTGTATCGAATGCATACTGTCCAAATTTCGTGGCATCAATACCTCTACCCACTTGACATGACCTGAAGTATAACATAAAACCGTTTTATTAATTCCTCATTTATTCCAGTGATTTCTGATGAATAATGGTAGTTTTGGAAAAATCTTCTGGCTGTATTACCGTCATTAGTGTTGCCACTTACTTGCTTAGGTTTATCTATATTCAATCCAAGTTCTTCCCTGAACCTTCTTTGTACGTAAGCTTTCTTTTGCTTTTTTAAATCTTTATTCTCTGTTGTTGTGGCAGACCATTTTTCAGAACCTAGATTGTAAGATAAATGTAAAATAAGTTCCATAAATCTGATCCAACAATGCAAAGTTGAAAGCCCACATTGATAAGAAGCTTCATCCACAGGTTTGTTTCGCACTCTTTCTAAATTATTCATTTCTGTAGGTCTTGCACTGCAAATAGTGCACACAGCACTTGTGGAAGTTTCTGACAAAACTTGAGCCACTTTCCCATCAATCATAGTTAAAAACAACGTGTGTTTTATTTCAATACCTTCTCCATTGTGATTAATTAGGGAAGGATTCAGGGCTAAAATTTGAGCATTAATTTCGCTGACTACCAGTGTTGTTTTCTCAGCTGTTTCATTTGAAAATTCTATCAAAATTGGTCGGCAAAATCTCACTGACGCACTATGGAAAATGGTAGAACAAGCACGGATCATAAATCATTTTGAACAATGTCGTTATTGATATATTTTTTAATTTTATCTTATAGTTTAATGACGCAACTAATTT